GAAATAGTAGAGCAAGTGGAGTTTACCTCGGATTCTGACTCATTGCCATCCTCAATTATCAGGAAACACATATGTTGCATTCCTTTGCTTATCTCATTTGAGGCTTGTTGGGTGGTTTGCTGATGGTGGAAAAATATAAGTTCTGATAGGGGACATTCCTATGTTCTTGCAGAACACAGATTTGTCCCTTAGTTCCAACCCAAGTGTGCAAGAGCACGCATCAAGTAATAAAGGGAGTATTAATGCCCAAATTATCGTTCCCACGAGGATAGAGTGCTAATTATTATTTTATCACTGTTTATAAAGAATGAAAATGAGAAGAAAAGTTAGTAAATGCACTGTCTGGTCAAACGTTCCCTACTGTCTTGACAACATTCCTCAGGAACAGTAGGTTCAATCTGATGGCAAACAGTTGCTTGCTGCGTTATGTATGTGATCCTTCCTGTTTAGAAGAAGGTGAGATAATAATCATTGGAGTTTTTATAAGTACTAAATAAAATAAAATAAAAACTACTAAAACAGAATTAACTATAATCAAGAGACAACAGGGTGGTGGTTAAAACAGTTTAACAGAAGGAACAGATTCACTGCTTCACTCTTAAAGGGGCTGTTTTCTCTGCTCAAGACTTAGCACCTTTTGGCTTTGTCCAAGTTTCTTTGCCTGCCAACTCTGATTCCTCAGCTCATGGTCTAGATGGCTCACAAGTTTCCATATTCCTATGGCTCCCTTGACTCCAACAGGTACTTAGTTCAGAACCTTAAAATGGACGAGTTGGCCCCTTATTCCTAAGGTGACCAGTAGCGTTTTTGCCATGACATCTACCTTCCCCCAATGGCTAAGCTGTCTGAAATCCCTTCCTTATGGAAGTTCCTTTCTTAGTATGTACCCAATTTTCATTGGCGCACAATGAATATAGCTTACTTAGCCAAAGAAATACAAAAAGCTTCGGTCAAAAGTTTTGAAAACAGTTCTTTAAGAGATTCACAATTTACCCGTTCCACAGATAGTTCAGCTCATGGCTGATAGTTTAAACATAATTATTCTCAACTGAGATCACATAGACCCGAGATTCAGTCAAGAGATAACGATTGGAACGAAGATAAAAACACTTATATTAATTTGAAAGACAATTTACAAAAAGAAACAGAAAATGGAGAAAGATGGTTATTTGCTCGTGAGGAGTCTTGATGGTTGTTTACAGAGAAGAAAAGAGGGGTTGTCACTTAACTACAGTTACAACTTAAAATTAAACTAAGTTACTAACTACTACTAAGTGATCTCTTCCTTTCGGACTGCAAACCCTCCAGGATTCAATGATGTTTTTGTGTGAGGGTGGTCCTATTTATAGCTGGAAGAGGAGTGGCAAGACTGTAATTCCTTTGGAGCTAGTTGCTTGAATGAGGGGACGAGACTGAGGCAGCAGAGTGTGAAGCTTGTGTGAATTGCTGGATGGAACAGGATTTGGTGATGATTAGTCGTTGTTTGCAGACCTTCCCATGCTTTGCTTTCGTTTTCAGCCAATGAGAACTCTTGATTCTCTGCTCTTCACGTTTCCAGCTGCTCAGTTGGTGCACCGCCTTGCTTTTTAGAAGTCTTTAACTCTACGTTACCTGCAAAGTGTACAGAAGCATTAAATGAATGGAGCAGGTGCATTAAATGCGTCTCAGTCTGTTCCCCTTTTAATATATTTTAAAGGAATACGTTACCATCCGTTCCCCCACTGTGTTTTTGTCACAAATGTGTAAAACAAGTGATTTTCATGCTGAAGTTTCTCATCAGATGAGGGAACATATGATATTTTGCCATCAAAATGGGCTTAGATGGGGACGAATTTACGTCCCATCAAGGCTTTAGAATCGTGCAAGAAACATACATTTGCCTCTTCAATGCTTGAATCATCGGAGGAGCTTGAATCTTCATCCCAAGCCGCATAGGCCTTCTTTTTAAAATTCTTCCTTTCCTTGAATTGGTTCTTGTCATTTTTTTTCTTTCTTTTGAAGCTTAGGGCAATCGACTTTAAAGTGTCTGGTTTTTCCACATTCATAACATGTATGAGGAGGTTGAGAAGCTCCTTCATCCTTGAATCTTCTCCTCGGAGGAATTGGAGGTTTTCTTTGAAAGTTCTTCTTTTTGAAGAATTTTCCATATTTTTTCACAAAAAAACTCATTTCATCTTCATCTAATTCGTCATCGGAGAGCTCCTTTTCCTACTCCTCCTCCTCTTGAGATTTTGAGCTAGTGGCTTGTAAAGCTAAACCTTTGCTTTTCTTCTTGGCTTGCTCCTGCAAAGTTAGTCTTGCCAACTCTAGCTCATGTTCTTGAAGCTTCCCAAAGAGTGTAGCAATGGAGATAGTCTTCAAGTCTGTTGATTCACAAATGGCCATCACCTTAGGCTGCCATTCCCTATTCAAGCTTCTTAAGACTTTAGTCACCAATTGAAAATTATTGTATGAAGCTCCTAATGCATCTAAATGAGTAATAATATGTGCAAATCTCTTTTGCATCTTCGAATAGTTTCACCATCATTCATTTCAAATAATTCAAATTCTCTAGTTAAGCTAAGAATTTTAAAATCCTTAACTTCACTAGTTCCTTCATGTGTTACTTCAAGCACATCCCACATTTCTTTTGCGATTTTGCAAGAAGCTACATGAAAATATTCATCTCTACCTAATGCATTGGTAATTAAATTTCTAGCCTCAACATTCCAATTTGCTTCTTTAATTTCTTCATCCGAAAATTCCTTTACTTTCTTTGGAACATCATTGTTTTTATAATCCTTTTTGGGGGGAATTCCCTCATCAACAATGCTCCAAATTCTTAAATCAATAGACTCGAGAAATATTTGCATTCGACTTTTCCAATAAGCATAATTAGTGCCATTAAAGAAAGGAGGTCTTGTGGTTGAAGTTCCTTCAAGGGGCATATCATTGTTCAAAGAGGTCATCCCTTCTCTTGAAGCGATTAAGCTCTTCATACAAGAGTCTAATCTCTGATACCACTTGTTGGACAAGTGGCCTCAAACACAAGGGGGGTGAATTGAGTTTTAAAAATATTTTCGCAAAATGCCTCACTTTCTTTCTTGAAAACGAATTTCTTGAGTTTATATGATTTGACACAAGTAAAGTTTAAAGAATATAAATTAATACAAACAAATAATATGCAAAGTTTAAATTTAAATATGCTCAAGTATTCTAGCAATGCTTATGTAAAGAGATAAGGAGTTAGAGAGATTGGAAACAAGATATATCCTGGTTCGGTCACCACCATCGTGACCTACATCCAAATTTAAGCCGCTCGATCAATTTTTCACTAATGGTAAAGCTTTAAGGGTGCTTGACAAACCACTACAACCTTCAAGAATTTTGGTTCTTGAAACCCTTACACTTCCACTCACTTTCTTAGGTTATGAGCAACCTTTTCACTAAAGCCTCACTACCCTCAACTCAAATAAATAGAAGGAGAGTGTTTAGAAATGGATTTGTACTCTTAAAGTACAAATTATATAAAGTTGAAGCTTATGGGTATTGATCAATAACACAATAATGAAGCTCAAAGGAGTTTTATGATCACTATGAGTAAGAACAAGTGATGAATGAGTTTGATTCAATAAGAATAATCAAGAATGATGGTAAAATCAATGGAACAATATTTCTTATGTTTCTGAATTGAAATAAATGAGTTTATATAGGTATTGGTACGAAACTAGCCGTTGGAATGCTTACTGCCCAGTAAATTTGAATACTTTTAATGAGGTATTCGAATACTTCATCAAGTATCCGAATACTTTTCATAAGGTATTGAATACTTTGTTCTTAGCACAAGTATTCAAATATTGATCAAGAAAGTATTCGAATACTTCCTTGACAGAACTTAAGTATTGCAGTTTTTGAGTTAAGAAGTATTCCAATCTTGTCTCTAATCACTTTTAGTGCAATTCCTCGACTTGATAAAATTGTTTTGAAGTTACAAAAAGTGTCAAGGTTTTTTCTCATGAGTTATTCAAAAACTTTCAAGTGAATAGTGTCATGGATAATGCATGCACATAATTAAGTATTCTTTGAGCTCATTTATGCACTATTAATCAATTACCTTTACATTTAGATCTAAGCCCCAATGATATACTACAATCTTGATCTTTGATCTTGATCATGTGTGTTGATGGTTTTTCTTCTGTTGTCTTGTTAAATTGCTTCCTTGGATTTTTTGATTGTTGTAAGTTGTATTATCCTTGATGTTGCTTCCATACTTGTTTGTTATCATCAAAACTCTTGTATAATTGAACTCTTCGTTTTGAGTGCATTGATTTCACAATAAATTTATAAGAAAAGTATTTCTTCAATTACTGGAGATAAAATTATCTATTGTGAGCATAAAATGACGTTATTTTGGGTTATAAGATTAAAAAATTATAATGATAAAGACTAAAATAACTCTGCAATAAATTAGAATTACAAAAACACCTTTATTTTCGTCATAAAATGATGTCATTTTGAACTCACCGGATATAATTTATTTTCATTGACAAGGAGAAATTCATTACCCTAAATTTATCCCATATAATATAATATGATAAACATAAATACCAGTATTTAAACTCAATTTCTAAACAAGTCGTCATTTTCCCTCCGCAAAAAATAGAGATTAACGGTCAGAATGAAGCGAATTGCCATCCGCGGCACACTATACATTTCTCTCAGTTTACCGTTAACAAGAATAAGAATATACGTTTCAAATTGCATAACCTAGATAAGTACAAAACAACCTCCCTAAAAATATTCAAAAATAAAAAATAACCCGAAAAACAAACACGAGAGAGAGAGAAAGTCATTGAACCCCACATGGCCTTCCTTCGAAGACATCCGAAGCACATTACCAGCATCGATCAATAACACCCCAGTGACCCCACCCCACTACAGTATTATAATTCAATTCAAGGCTTCTCTTTCCTCTTTTTCTCTCTCTAAACCTCTCGCTCCTTTTTCTTCGTGATCTTTCCTTCGCATCTCTAAAAAACAAATGATGCCAGAAATAGATGGCATCTCTAACAAATCCCCTCAAATCTCCGAAATGTTCCAGAAATTCGCCCTCGCTTTCAAGACCAAAACCTTCGAGTTCTTCTCCGACGAAAACGCTACCGCGGTTGACGACTCCGATGGCTTCTCCCTCCTTGACTCCGCCGAAGAAATCATCACTGACCAAAAGGTTGTCGTCATCAAACCCGACCCCGACCCGTCCCACAACTTCTCCCCCGGAACTCCACCGCCGCCGCAAACCCCTCCGCCATCCCCTCCGCCACCGACCCAGATCACAAACTCGGCCAAATCTCCCGAATCCAAATCGACGCCGCGTTTAACGGCGAACCAGATCAGGGAAACGACCCACACTCTGATCTCTTCGATTTTTGCAGCCGTATCGGCGTTCGAAGCTTCCTACTTCCAACTACAAAGCGCTCACGTTCCATTCGTGGAAGAAAATGTGAAGAGCGCTGATAAATTGTTGGTTTCGAACCTTCAGAGGCTCTCCGAATTCAAGAAATTCTATTGCAACCCTGAGTCTTGTGGTTTCCCATTTGGGTCTTGCTTGGAGGCTGAGGTGGAAGAGAATCAGAGCAAGCTCAGGACCCTCGGGACCGTCTCGAACCGCTTGCAATCGGAGCTGGAGCAGAAGCACGACGAGGTCGCGGCCCTGAAGAGAAAGCTTGATGAGATTCAGAGGGGTAATGTGAACTTGTCTAAGAAACTGTGTGCTAGTACTTTGAACCCTTGTTGTGATGTTTTGTTAACTGTTAGGGTGTTTGATTCTTTATTGCACGATGCTTCTAGAGCAACCCACAAGTTTACCAAGATTTTGATTGGTTTGATGAGGAAAGCAGGGTGGGATTTGGGTTTAGCAGCTAATGCGGTTCATCCGGGTGTTGATTATGCTAAGAAAGGGCACAACCAGTATGCACTTTTGTCGTATGTTTGTTTGGGAATGTTTCAAGGTTTTGATTCACAAGGTTTTGGAGTGATTTTGAATGAAAAAGAAGAAATCGTGTCAAATGGGCACGTGCAGAGTTTAGATTTGGAGAAGAAAAATGGTTCTTTAAAGCAATTGCTTGAGCATGTGTCTAGCAATCCAATGGAGTTGCTCAGCATTCATCCCAGTTGTGAATTTTCGAGGTTTTGCGAGCACAAGTACGAGAGGCTTATACATCCTTCCATGGAGTCGTCCATTTTCGTTGATTTGGATCAAAATGAAGCGGTTTTGAGCTCGTGGAGGTCGTTGAGTATGTTCTATGAGGCGTTTGTAGGAATGGCTAGCTCAATATGGACACTGCATAAGTTGTCCTATGCATTTGATCCTGCAGTTGAGATTTTTCAAGTGGAAAGAGGTGTGGAGTTCTCTATGATTTACATGGAAGATGTTACAAAGAGATTAACATGGCCAAACAAGGGTAGGGCAAAGGTGGGATTCACTGTGGTTCCAGGTTTTAAAATTGGAAGGATAGTTATTCAATCACAGGTTTATATAAGTAATTTCAGATGTACAGAGTAGTTTAACCTGGTTCCTCTTGTACAACACAAGTAATGGCCACTGCGTTCAGATGTGACTGCTATTTTCAGGAGCTAAATTCTGTTGTTGCGTTGGTTCTGGTCTTGAGAGTTGTTTGTCAGAATAAGTGAAATACATGAGTTTTGCCAGAATTTATTTCAAGATGCCTGGTACTGAACTGCTAATTGAGAAAGACAATGCCAGTATTGCCATATGTGCCTGAAGATGCTTGCTTCTTGCTATGATGCTCAATTGGGAGCAATAGTGGTGGGGTCAAGTCGTTTGGTGGTTTGTGCCAATACCCTGTGAGTGTCGGTAGTGTTTTTCCTGCTATTTTTCTCGTTTCGTTCTTCTTTTCTCCAAGTTTTGCTTTTATGTTCTTTTTAGGTCACTTGTGTAGAGTTAACTGTACAGAACATTACTCTTATTCTGGGTACTCTAACAACAACTACATCATGAAATTGTGTATGTATCACTTATATATAACAAATAACAATGGTTTTCTCATTAGTAACTCTTTCTCACTATCTTGCAAGTAAAATATATAGAACATAATTTCATTGTACCATACTCCTTGAAAATAAATATATGTTTTTTTTTTTTTTTGGGTACATAATAAATATATACTTTCACTTGTACAGAATGGATAAATATCATTTAATTTTCTTCTAGCTTCCTTAATATAGCATTATTGTATGATTGATTTATTATTTTATGATTTGTAATTTACTAATGTTACCTATTTCAGTTCAGATTTGAAAATTTTCTTAGTTTGGTTTGTTCAAAGGTCTTGTCTCTGTATTTGTGCACCACTTATTTTGTGACTTCCGTTGTATAAAATATACTTTGCCGGATTGATCATGCATGTGAATGTTCTTCTGCTGATTGCCATTAACGTAGTGCCAGTTGCACTCCCCACAAAAACTTTACGTCCCATTTATTGCATAAAGGAGATGTAACATATGCAAAATTATGAGTTTTTTATTTTAATAAGCTCCCGTAGAAGCATAAAGTCAGCCATTCGTGAAACCACAATAGAAAAAGCACTTAAAGGTAAAAAGTCTGACTTACAGACAGTTTTCTTCCAAGCTTGAAAAGAGAGGATGAAGCAACTCCGTGATTAGAGTTTCTTTATTTGGTGGCTCTCTAACTAGAGTAAAACAACATCCCAGGTACAAAACACGAAGGCCTGCTTTTCCCTGGATTTTTTGGTCTATAATTAGCAGCTGCCCCGTTTTGCGTCTCCATTTATTTATTTAGTTAGGGCGGGTGTGTTGTGTTGGGTCCAGTTTTATCATAGGAACGCTGTTTTCATTATTGGACCGGACCGACAAATTCGACCGAGAAAATAGGGAGCTGATCCTTTAGAGTATGGTCAACGCACCGAAACAACACTTTCAAACCAGCCAAATCGTATCAAATGGCCAGAGTTTACCTAGTTGAGTTGGTCATCTTTTTAAATCGAGTTCATTCATCCCACAAAACTGATCTGGTGGAAAACTGATTTTGTGGAATTAACTTCACAATTTTTTTTTTTGCAGCCAAATAAAATTTTCATGTTAAGCTAAGGAGCAGTGTTATTAAAATCGGCTCGATCCGGCCGGTCGAACCAGTTGAATTAGGAACCGGATCACTAATTAGTCCAGTGTAGTCAATTGATTGGCCATGTATATAATCCAATCAAGAATCAGTGAACCGATCATAAATTGAGTTTTATCGGTGCTAATCCGTAGCCTTTTTTGATGGAAAATCTTAGAGCATTAAATTTATGGTCTTTCCATTTATATGATCCTCATTTAGTCCATTTTTAATTAATGTAGGATTTCATTACTATGACTTGAATTCCAAAAAATTTAATTTATGGGACGTTTGGTAGGAGTTTTATTTTCAAATTCCCAGGAAAGTGAGGATGGTATTTCAATTTGTTCATGTTTGGTTGAAAATTTTAGAAAATTTTCCCAGGAAATTTATTTGCCCATGATTTTGTTTTGTGTGAAAATTGTGACTGAAAACACCATCCAAGAATACCACACTGATTCCCGGGAAAATGGAAAAAAGGAGGTGAACTAGTTGACGAAAATAACCCTCTTCAACGGTGCTGGTCTTCCTCCTCCTCTTGTTCCTGCACCAGCATGACTCCTAAACTCAATAAACCCATAACCTTTCGACTGACTAGTTTGCTTATTCCTAATAACTTTCTCCGTGGTCACATACAAACAAACAAAACCCTCACTTCAGTAACACAATAGAACCGCCCACATGATCCTACACACAAATATGCAATCTATCTAAATCAATATGCAACACAAGTGGAAAATCAGACAAAACTTACATTTACGTAGCAGAGAACCCTATTGGCCTTGATAGCAAACAGAGAATGCAAATCGTGTTAGGCACTCACCTAACTGAGAGAAAAAGAGGAAAAATAAGAACTAACAATTGTATTAATTTTTTGATAACCTTTCAGTATACATCAGTATTCCTATTTATTGCCTAGTACAATGTATAAGCCACGTAACCACTTAGCTACTTCCTTATTACACGTGATCAGCCTTTCTTTCAAGGTAACACCAAGTGGCCAACAATGCACGTGACCTTAGGCTACAAACCCCTTCAGCCTAGTTGATGGTTTCTTGTTTTTTCTATATACCCTTCGTGTAACATCCCCCTCCCCTTCAAAAATGACCTTATCCCCAAGGTCTAGTGCTGGATAACAACGCTTGAGGAGATCTTCAGCTTCCCAAGTTGCATCCTTTGGCACAGAATGCGTCTGTTGAATCAAATACTCTTTCTGCACCTCCCCACGCAAAGAAACATCTCGCACAGCTAACACAGATAGTGGTTCTTGAATTGGCCTGTTCTCAATCGCCAAAGAAGGTATAGGGTTGGGTTGAATTTTCAGAGTTCCTTTGAATGGTTTCAGGAGTGACACATGGAAGGTTGGGTGGATTTGACTCTCTGGAGGCAACTACAAAAGATAAGCAACCTCACTGATCTTCTTATCAACAGGGTATGGTCCATAAAACCGTTTAGCCAACTTGTGATTAGCCCTCCGTTCAACCGAAATCTGCCTATATGGTTGCAATTTAACCCAAACCAGATCACCTACCTCAAAAGTGCGTTCCCTTCTATGTTTATCATATTGCAACTTCATTCGGTTCCTAGCACGCTCCAAATGCATCTTCAGACGAGAAATCACTTCATCACGCTGCACTAACAAGGACTCCACAACTTCTGTTTTTACCAACCCGCGAGGATAATGAGGAATTTGCATGAGTGGTTTTCCAAAAGTTGCCTGATAAGGGCTCATCCCAATACTAGAATGAGTACTAGTATTATAATGAAATTGTGCCCACCCAATAAACTCATACCAACACTGTGGTTTCTCGTGGCAGAATGATCGCAAATATTGCTCCAAATATCTATTGGTCACCTCTGTCTGTCCATCCGATTGAGGATGATATGCTGAACTTGTAAGCAATAACGTTCCACTTAACTTGAACAACTGAGACCGAAATTGGCTTACAAATAATGGATCACGATCAGTGACGATTGAGCGAGGAAAACCATGAGTATGCACTACCAAAGCACAGAAGAGCTTATCTACTATTGCAGCTGTAAAAGAGTGAGGCAAACAAACAAAATATGCAAATTTTGAAAGTCTGTCAATAATCACCAGAATAGTGGTATACCCCTTCGAAATAGGTACGCCAACTATAAAATCTGTGGACAAATTTTCAAAAATACCTTCAGGAATGGCCAGGGGTTGTAATAATCCAGTGGGTTTAGCAGTTTCATATTTCACTTGTTGACAAGTAATACATTGGCCCACGAATTGTTTGACATCTCTATGCATGGAACTCTAGAAGAAAGTGGCAGAGAGTCTCAAATGAGTACGCAAAACTCCAGCGTGTCCTCGAATTGGTGTGGCATGCGCTTCACACAACAGCACTGGTATCAAGGCTGATTTGGGACTCAGCATAAACCTGTTTTTGTATAATAGGATGCCATCCTTAACCATCATACATGGATCAACATTCGGGTCTGAATCATATTTCTTGTGAAGCGATAACAAATATGGATCCTCTTTGTTTAGTTGACGAATCTCCTCCAACAAATTAAAAATAGGTTCAGAGACCAATGCATTAATAACACCCTCCTCATAAACTCTTGACAGAGCATCCGCAACAATATTCATCTTACCTACTTTATACTCGATTGTAAATGTGTACCCCAACAACTTACATAGATACTTTTGCTGCTCCATAGTCTGTATGGTTTGGTTAAGTAACTCCTTGATGCTCCTACGATCAGTCCCAATCACAAATTCAGACCCCAGTAAGTACTGCCTCCAACGCTTGACAGCTGCAGTGATTGCATAGAGTTCCCTAACATATGTGGAAGCATTAGCTAACCTTGTACCTAACTTCTTGCTGAAAAAAGCCAAAGGTTTCTCCTACTGAAGCAAGACTGCTCCCACTCCACTATTGGACGCGTCAGTCTCAATCACAAATGGCAAGCTAAAATCTGGTAAGACTAAAATTGGTGTGCTGGTCATAGCAACCTTGAGACAGTGGAATGCTTGTGAAGCTACCTCGGTCCACTTAAACTCCTCAAATGCCTTCAGCATTTTTGTCAATGGTGCAGGCACCATGGCATAATTCTTCACAAAGCAACGGTAATAACCGGTGAGGCCCAAAAAACCCCTAAGTTGTTTCAATTTACTAGGTAAGGGCCATTCCACCATAGCTTTAACCTTTTTTGGATCTGCATGTACCCCTTGATCTGAAACTACATGGCCAAGGTATTCAATGGAAGATGCACCAAATGAACACTTAGTCATCTTAACAAAAAATTTATGCAATTGCAAGCATTTGAGAGCCACATGCAAGTGCTCCATATGATCCTCCAATGTTTTGCTAAACACGAGAATATCATCGAAGAAGACAATTATGAAATGACACAAATAAGGCTTAAACAAATGATTCATCACGGCTTGGAATGTTGCAGGAGCATTAGTCAGCCCAAATGACATAACTAAGAACTCATAGTGACCTTCATGAGTTCTAAAAGCTGTCTTTTGGATATCTTGGGGGTAAAACCCGAATTTGATGATACCCGGCCCTTAAATCAAGCTTACTGAACACCTTAGCACCTCCCAATTCATCAAGGAGCTCATCTATAGTGGGGATTGGAAATCTGTCCCTGACTGTAATAGCATTCAAAGCTCTATAATCAATGCACATCCTCCAAGTATTGTCCTGTTTACGTACCAAAAGGACGAGGGAAGAAAATTGGCTGTGAGATTGCTGTATGAATCCTGCAGATAGCAAATCCGATACTTGTTTCTCAATCTTGGACTTTTGATGATGAGCATACCGGTATGGTTTGACATTCACTGGTTTGGAGCCTTCAACCAAGTGAATAGCATGATCAATTCCCCGAAATGGCGGAAGCTCATGTGGAATTTGGAAAACAGATTGATGCTTCAACAACACCAGCCACAACTTCTCAGGTACCGAAGATTTAAGAGCCAACAACTCTGATCCTGGCACTATCAAATTCTCATCCTCTTGAGGAACAAATGCATAGCAGTTTAACACATATGTTTCCATCCCAATAGCAGCAACCTGTGGAGCCTCAAACCCTCTAGTTCCTTCCAAAACCACTTGTTGCCCCTGCCACTCAAATTCCATAGATGAAGTGTGCTTTAAATAAATAAAATCAAATATCATATAATGCTTTTTAGTAAAAAAAAAGTGTCATGTGACTCTTAGATTGTCTCTAGCACACCTATATATACTAAAACTTAAATCATAAAATTGTCACTTTAATTGCTTCATATTAATATAAATTTTATTTTTTTCTCCAAATGAAGAAATTTGGACTCATAAATCCTATATTACATGTTGACAACGTGCAGTTGCGTCAAAGTATGATTGTTATAAGAGTTGCAAAATTGGACAACACTAGACCTTCATAAAATGTATCTCCATTTTCACATACCTATAGTTTAGTTAATATCCAGACCATAGGATTTGCAAAAGCATCTATTAAGACATTTTGTACTAGCCTGCCGCTATTTGCCAAAGAAAAAACGATAAATGCATGAAATGGCTTGAATTCGTGGATGTAGATACATTCCACAAGTTGACTCTTATAGCTACGAAGGGTTGAGTCCTTTGGTCATTTGGGGTGTGTGTGAAAATTACTAAAATTATATAATGAATTTGTGTATGTCGTTATTAGATGATGGAGGAGTGTAATCTTTCTCAGCACATATAACTATATAAGATTAATTACATGATAATTCTTTTTATCAGAGTTCAATATCATACACCACAACTTTTGAAAGTGATTACAATTTATCTACTCTTATTTGTGCTACAATTTCCTGATTTAATTAGATCAGTAACGCTATGTGTTTGGTGCTTATATCAAAACGGTGCGTATAAGTTCTTTGTAATTTCCGTACCAATCACTCACGGACTTTTTGTGTACGGAAATTTCCGTTAAAAAGTCCATAGGGAACATGGTTAAGCGATATTCCGTCCAAATTTTAGACAAAAGTATTTCCATTGATAATAATGATTTTTATAGTAGTGTAATTTGCATGAGTTTCGTCCAGCCTGTGCTGCAAGGAAGCAAGCAACAACGACAGTAACCCATTGTTAGAAGGAGCCAAGTTCATCAGTAAGGTCTTGGACACGCATTCTGGACGTGTGCTGTTTGGAGATGAAAGCACCAGCTGTTTCCTATACGAAACATTGTTGTTCCCTTAATTTCTTCGTTAAGACAAGAGAATTAGAAGAAAAAAAAAAATCACTCCATTTGCCTCCATCTCTCAACTATCTAGAAGTGTTTCTCTCAACTACCTAATTTAATAATGAGGCTTACTATACCATTTTATTGAAAAGAAAGAAAATCTATACAGAAAGATGGTTTTTGACACAAATACAAGGTGAGAGTCTCTTATTATATTAAATCTATGGAGACTCAAATTTAATATCATCTATAATTGTTTCACTATAATTTTAGCTAGGTAACACTTTATTTCTGTGAACAAAAGTACAAAGACCTTAGATAAAAACATGATTTTATATCTAAGACAGAAATAGTGAATATAGTAAGGGCTTAATTCCGTACTTGCACAACACTTTATTTTCTAATAATTATCATTAATATAACATTGACATCCATATTCCGAATCACATTCGGTTCTTCGCAACAAGGCAAAGAGGATGTTTCTTGTGTTGGACTAGTCCCGGAAGCACATCAGTGTCTATGTCTTCCCTCTTTGCACCTTCAGGCATTTTCCAATCAAATGAATAGAGAAGATTAGCAAGTATTAGCTCCACTGTAACCACTCCCATAAAAAGGCCCGGGCAAATTCTTCGGCCAGAACCAAATGGTATTAGCTCGAAATCTTGTCCCTTAAAATCTATAGTATTGTCTAAGAATCTCTCAGGATAAAACTCTTCTGGCTCCTTCCATGTTTCAGGGTCTCTGTGGATTGCCCAAGCATTCACATACACCAATGTCTTCTCCGGAATTTCATACCCTTCAATGATACACTTTTTAATCGTTTCTCTTGGTATAAGTAGGGGCACTGGTGGGTACAGCCTCATTGTTTCTTTTATAACTGCCTTAAGATAAGGTAAATTTTGGATATCATCTTCCTCTATAAAATCTTTCCCACCAAATAAATTTCTAATCTCTTCTTGAACTTTCTGCGTTACTCTAGGATTCCTCATTAGTGAAGTCATTGCCCAAACTGTTACGGCTGCATTTGTATCTGTCCCAGCCATAATTATATTCTGTAATTGACAAAGAATTGAGCAATCAATTAACACCTATAAAAAATAATAATGTTGAGTTGAACTGGTTGCATTACATGTTATTAGAACTTTTTACTAAGTGATCACGAATTTTAACCTCATTCGCTTCTGTTTTCTAATAAAATTACAAAAATATCTCTATATTATTCATATTACAAAAATTACAGAAATATTAATATAAATATCATTGAAGATATATATTAATATTAAAAAAAAAAAAATCGTTTATATGGTTTAACTTCATCTATGTTTTAAGTGTATTAGATAGAGACAAAAAAATGGAAAAGAAAGCAAAAATAGGCCTTGAAAATTGAAATGAAGGTTAAAATTTGAAGAAATATAGAACAACCATGATCAAAGGTTTGATGTGATCGGGTGTGAGATCCATTGAGAGGGAATGATCATTCTTCAGTTGAAGTAAGGCATCGACTATATCCTCTTCATTTGTAAGTTTCTCCCTTTTTGGATCAAGGTGTTCATCGATAGCATTCTGGAAAAACTCATCGAACACCTTGAACGATCTCTCAAGACGACCCATTAATCCTGTGAGCTTATCAACATACCACCCCAGAAAAGGAATATAATCTGTGTAAAAGAAGGAAACTACCAATTCCTGCGCTTCTTTAAGAAGGTCATGGAACATGCTCCTCTCGATTCCTTCCTCTTCGTACCTTCTTCCAAGAGCAATCCTACAAGTTATAGTGCTAGTGAGACACGTCACTAACTCATGCAAGTTCGTGACTTTGGAGCAAGAAGCATGTTCTGATATCTTTTTGATCATTTGAGTAACCTCATATTTTCTAATTGAGGAAAACGTTGATACACGCTTAACACTAAGCAAATGGATAATGGAAAACTTTCTCGTGTGTCTCCAATAATCTCTGTATGGAGAAAATACCACGTCTAACCCATTATATGAAAATTTCATTGGGCTGAACAAGGAAGGTCGGCTACAGAACTCAAGGTCATGAGTTTTCATTACTTCCTTGGCCAGTTTTGGTGAGGAAACAATAAGGGCTGGCCTTGAACCGAGTTGAAGGGAAAAGAGAGGGCCATATTTCTTTGAGAGTTCATAGAGGTTCAAACAAAGAGCAGAGCTATCTAGTTGATGTAGATTGCCAATGACGGGAAGTCCTCTAGGACCTGGTGGAAGGGTTGGCTTCTTTGAAGTTTTGTGTTTTTGGAAGAAGAACAATAGCAAAAGAGGGAAAGCTAAAAGAACAAGTGATAACATATTTTGATCCATGAACAACTACGGACATGGGAAAAGAACTACTATTGTAATATCAATTTGAGGTTTTTACACATATAGAGAGAGTCAATTTATATTAGCACAAGTGAAAATGACTCCAAGATAATTAAATAATTTTTTTTAATATATTTAAGGTCCATATTTAAAAACTTCGCCATGAAGAAAGGGTAACACCCCGTGTATTATAATATAATGGTACTACAGCTTGTTCAATTTATTAAACGCGGAAGCTAATCATAATAATATTAACGAGATTTCTAAACCATATTGTGAATTAACTATTTCCTTCTTATCTTATGTATTGCAACACAAAAAATCCCTGATCATGATTACGTATCTTTCTACACCCGCACTTAATCATCATACTTATCCAATTATGCCAGACTTAGTTTATAAATATTCGTAACATATAGTCCAGTATGATGAATACAACATGTCCTCTTTGATATTCATAAATAGCATACTTAGTCATGAACCAACATGATGTAGTCATGACAACATCCATAAATCATGGTGCATACAAATACGTGTTCTCAAACAATAACATCAAGATTATTTAATAGTTATATTCAAAAAAAAAAAAAAGATTATGCAATAGTGACATAGACAACCTCTGTGCTCACATCAAATAACAACATAATCCAACGTGTCCCACAATAATCATGTCTCATCATAACATAAATAATCATCATAAATATGCATGTCTCATGTCATAATGTAATCTCTATGCCGATGTAACGCCCGATCGCTTTCAGGATCAATGACTGTCCCCACACACTAACACGAGACTTTTCAGCGTGTTTTGTCCTTACTCACACACTTCATAGGAAAACTTCCCAAGAGGTCACTCATTCCAAAATTGCTCCAAGTTAAGCATGCTTAACTATGGAGTTCTTCCGTTATGGGCTATCGAAAAGTAAATGCATCTTGTTTGTATAAGTAGTACAAATTAATTCTTATAAGCTATCCCCAACTGTGCAGTTTCATACTGCACAATCTTTGGAATTCCTCTCTTTTGGGTGTCGATTCGACTCATTCATGTACCCCCCGCTAGAAGCCTGCCAGGAGCCGCTCCTTGTCTGTGCCCTTTCGCATCGGCGATCACTCCCTGCTCTCGTCAGCGCCTGGGAAGTTACAACTGACCTCTTGCCTCGTGATGCATTTATATTATAGATATCAGCAATTGAAAAATGTTCCCCACACAGGGTGAGATTTTGACAAATCTTAGTAAACCGAGGTTCTCGAAGGATCACTCTGCCCCAAGTTGACTTACAGGTATAATAAGTTCAACAAAATAATAAAATGTATAATGTAGGATATATAACATGTAACATGTACAATATCAACATGTACTGGCCAGAGAATAAAGTGTGCATTACGCACGTTTGCAACATACCAAAAACATAAGGGACGCAACCTGCATATAGGACACACTATCACATCCGCATATATATCAACACACTACAAGAAAAAAGTTTATTTGTGACGAAAATTTTCGTCATAAATTGTCTCAAATGACAATTTTCGACACAAATAATCAAATTTCATCACAAATAAACTTGCGACGCAGGAATTTGTGACGAAATTTACTTGCAACGTAGGAATTTGTGACGAAATTTCGTCACTAATAAGACTTTTTCTTGTAGTGACATATTATGCCAAAAATCATTTCCATATATGATGGGATGAAATTTTGTTCCCATCTAATCTGATTTTATTGATAAATACTCGTTTGTTTCGTTACCTGGCATTCATTTTTGCTGTTAAAAGACGTTCCTAGACAATGAGAACAAAAAGACCAGAAAGGGAACATATGCTAGCATAACAACTGATAAAGAAAAGTAAAAAGGGAACGAATTGACTTATTTCTACAACTGCTAACCTCTCCCCTATCCAGTTTGCAGGAAAAGTCTAAAAAGAAGCTTCCAAAAGCAGAGAGTGCATAGTAATCAAGCTGCAAAGAGCATGTACAACAGATAAGGAAGAATGTTCATCGGTTTAAAGGGCAGAAAAGGCATTTGGGTTTCAGAACAAAAAGGCAAAATTCAACCCCAAGTTGTCATTTCGAACAACTTGCTTTATTCAAAGTAGCAGTCCACCACCTCTCCACACAAACACGAAACAGCTGATGAAAAATCACAAGTTTTCCATCACCTTCCTCAGCCTATAAATAGGAGAGCTCAGGACGAAGAAACTATCTCATTCCTTAAGAAGAGACCATAGATTTCGTAGTTTAAGTTTCTGTTTTACAACTTGTATAGTTTAACAATAGCTAAGTGACAACACTATTCTCTCCATTCTTCATCACCATTTGAGACTCTTCACGAGCAAACCTCCATTCTTCTCCACTTTATTTTTTTTCATTGTTGTAGTCAATTTGTGTTTGTTAATATAAGTCTGTTATTCTTTTCTCATCCAATTGTTCTCTTCAATCTGAATCTCGAGTCTATGGGACTTCAGATTGAGATAACTATGTTTGTATTTTCAGGCTAAGTTATTTTGGAATGGAAAAGCTGTGAATTTCTTAATGAACTATGTTTAAAACTCTTGCACTTAACCTTTTGTATTTCTATGATTTAAGTAATTTTAATCATTTGGGTATCAATGGAAATTGAACGAAATTGAGAAAGGAACTTCCTCAAGGAAAGGATTTCGGACAACTTAATCATATGAGGAAGGTAAACAATCTTACTGGTTTCCTTAAGAATAAGGAACCACCTCGTCCCCTGAAGGTTATGTACTTAGTAACTGTTGGAGTCAAGGGGGCCATAGGAATATGGAAACTTGTGAGTCATTTAGTCCATAAGCTGAGGAATCAGAGTTGGCAGTGAAAAGACTTGAACAAATTCAGAAGGGTTAAGTCTTAGTTGAGAACACAATTATTTAAGAATGGAACAGTGGATCCGTTTCTTTTGTTTAAAATGTTTTTTATTTATCACACCACCCTGTTGTCTCTGAATTATTCTTAATTTTAAATTTTGTATTTGTCATTTCATTATCAGAACACCAAACTTCCAATGATTTATCACTCCTCTTGAAATTAGGAAAGATTAAATATATAACGACGAGAGGAGTTGTTTAGAGTCAATATCCACCTTCTGTTTTAGGGGAATGACCCTAAGATACTAGGGAATGAAAGACCAAACAGTTCAAAACTGGTCTTTTATTCTTTCCCAATTCTTTAAAGTCTAGTTCAAAATATTATTTAGAGTTACTACCATCGTGTGAACGATAATCTGGGCACTAATAATCCCACTTATTACTTGATGTGTGCACTTGCACGACTAGGTCAATATCTTGAAAATGAATGAGTTTTCTCTCGATAGACTAAGTAAGGAAACGTCCTACAAAGCACCTAGCACCCAACAATATACATCGGCCATATATCAGTGCATAAATCAATTTCCAAAAATATACCATGCGCATAATAAACCAATCTCACATGGAGTTTGGTGGAACAAACATGGATCAACCCTGAGAACCGAAAGCTTACCTATCAAGCAGCACACTCCAACATAATCATAAAGCGCAACAAGTCACAAGTCAGCTATCCGCACAGTGTCACAACCTAGTTTCAGCATACAATTCCAGTCAAAAGATGTAATCTAGCCTTTCATGCCTAAAAGGACTTTATTTCTTTTTTATTTCTCATAATGCAGGCTTTTTCCTAAGCCCCAAGCTTTTAGTCTCATAAATACTGACTTAGGCTACTTTCACAGAGGTTCTTCGTAACAGCACGTATATATCCGGTTTGTTATCATATCATCGTATTAAGCAACGCTTAATATAAAAAGTGCAGAATATCTTTTTCTTTTCAATTATGACGTCATTATCATTAACCGAGTTGAATTACTTTATTCATTTCATAAAACATCGCCTGTATGTAAATTGCAAAAGACAACTAACTGAAATACCTCATAACATAGATGTGAGTATCTAAGTCACAGATCTACAACATGTAGTCCGGACAATATCTTGATACATTATTAATTACAACTAGAAACAACTAAGCATAAAGTCAAGTCAAAGTGGCATGGAAAATCTCCATGCTCACCCAAATAAGGCAACATAGCCAAACAAGGTCTTAACAACAATAGCAATATAATCCTAAAGCTAACAGCAAGTAGCAACAAGCATAATCCAACATCCAAGCATAATCATCATATAAACAACAATATCAGCTAAGCTCCGGCCTCCTGCCGCAAGAGGTCTCAATCCCCGCATTACCTGAACCTGAAATATGTGCCCCAAACGTGGGGTGAGATCTCTAAAAAGAAATCTCAGTAAGACAAGGGGTCCTTAAGGATTTTCCACCCCAAGCTCACTTACACGTGCAATATAAGTTCAAAAGCATTTAACAGTATAAGTTCCAAAACTCAATACAGTGCAACAGATATTCATGCCATGTGTGTTTAACTATTTTACTGGCCAGAGAAATGCAGGACGTACGTCTACAACCCCACAATAAGTACAAGGAACACCGCTTGCACCTCACCCACAACCTCACCCTCTTGTATGTACCACATACTCAGGCTTACCGTATAGGTGGAACACCACATGCATATCATAAAGGCACTCGCATATAACAACTCAACAACATTTCACAAATGAATATAACATGAAAACAACATCATGCATATAACCATACCCCCATGGGACATGGTGGAACCAACAGTGGCTAAACCGAGGACACGAAAGCTTACCTTGAAAGCTAACAATCCAAGCCAAGAGTCCAACCAATCTCAAAGCCCAAACACAACAGAATCACAATCAGTTTTGGACCAACAATCATATCAAAATCATACTCAACAAGTATAAGAAACAAGGACAACGTCTTTCCTTTACATTTCATGTCTTAAGGCTTCTCACAAAGCCACAAGCCCTTAATCACTTAGATTCTGACTTACATTAATCATTACAGAAGTCCACAGTAGCCAATCATGGGTCCACAAACCCAAAATAGCACTCTGTACGAACAGTGCCTTCACTGTTCA